GACTAAACAGTCCCAAACTTTTAAAGAAAAGTTGAATATATTCAACAACAAAGAGTGTTATTTGTTATTAGAAAAGTTCAGAGTAAATTAGTTTACAACATTTAACCAAGAATTCTGTAATTGTCATCCTAATCCTAGAATTCGACTTAATTAAGAATTTTGTGAGTTGAATAGATTTGGGTGTGGTGTGGAAAACATATATATGTGGAGAGACATCATTTGTGGACATGGACAAAGATCAGAGGGGGAGTAGTCATAGTCAAGTAGTCATCTCTTCTTTCATCCATAAGATTCATTCTCAACATGCTTTTTCACGCGTGGTGAATTTTCAAGTGTAATATATGAACAACAAAACGATGTGCCATGGAGCATGTGTGACTATTGAACTTCACACACAGGATAACCTGGCTTTGATACCATGAAGAAAGCTGAGGCTCTACTATAAAACTAATTGACAATACAGAGAGTAATCTAACTTACTTATAAGTCCATACAATATCCCTCATCACTCAATATGAGATTCATTCTCTAACAGTCTTGTATACATACAAAAATTTATCCTCCACAGGGGCTATATAAACCCTTCATGAACTGTATATTGGAGCTTACCCAAAACAGAACATTGATCATGAGGAGTGAAGCTTTAACAATTTCTTTCACAACCTATTAATTCGACACGAAAATAACAGGTTTCAGGTTAATTTGTTGTTAACGAGTTGGGATGTTATGGATCACCCATTAAGATCCGTTAACGAGTCAGATCACTATCGGTACACCTATTAAGAACTTGATTAGATATTGTTTGCTTGATCTATACATTAATTAAGCATGACCGTTAATCCGACACGTCCTGTTAACGAATCGGATAGTTATCGGATCACTTATTAAGAACCCGTTAAAATAACATATTTGACATAACATGATTTATTAAGATAACGAGTATAATACGAAAACAACGTAAAATGATTTTTCCAAGCCTCGTCATGGAGGATGAGTTGAGTTGCGTGGTGGTTTTGGTTTACATGGACTACTAGGCAGCCGCCTCATTCCAAATTCCATCAACCACAAAACCGACTTCTCTTTCCTTTTTATTTTTATTCCGAAATTATTCAAAGATTGGATCATGTTTTGGAATATTGGAATGGATGTTTGGATTGGCGTGGCATCGCATGTGGTAAATAATTCAGGAAGCAAAGCAATCGTTTACGGTGCTGACTCAGCTCCAAGCCAGACTGCTTCCTATTTTATTTTCATGGACACACTGAGTTCCTATTTTTTATGCCTCCGTTTTTGTTTTTGTTTTTATTTTTTTCCTTTTCTTTTTCGGATGAGTCTGATTAATTGCCAACCGCACACGTCTTCGTGATAAGAACGTGCATGATATACTATCGATATGATGATGCTTTGTTGCAATAATGAAATGCGTTAAATATAAGTTTTTTATGATTTACTCATTTGTGCATCTGAATTGTGTGCATAATTTACACATGATAATTGTAAATAAAGTATTGACACCGTAACTCCACCATATTAAAAAACGATTCTGATTTCACCTCTGACCATATTAATAATATATAAGTATTGTCGTTATACTATCAATATTGTAGTGATAAGTCGTCAATTCAAATCATGCGCATATAAGAAAATCTGTAAACAAAAAATTCACTTTCACATTGCTCTTTCACATGACCCACAACATTACCAGCCCTCAGAGATGTTGTGGTTGTGGGTTTGAAAAGTTGGGATCGGAGTAGGAATAAATAAAAGAGAGAGCATCTGGATTTTGTTTGGTTACACATATCCAGTCATCACAAGGCAAATAATGCTTGCAATTAGCCCAACTGGTGTCTGCAAGTTTTGAGTGAAACTTCTGGAACATGCATTTTTAGCCTTAACTTGCAAACTCCGACATGATATCAGCCTCGATCAGCCACTTGTTTTCGACGTGTTTGTGGAGGGTTTGGTGCATTGTTCTTGCTGTCAATTGGTTTTACGAGGAAATTTGAACTTTCTTCGCGATCATGTATATAAATCTAGCTAACCCACGAGTATTAGGATAAAAAAAGTTGTATTAATACCATATCTCCTCATCTCTAGCTTACTGTGTTCAATTATCACCAGCATCACCGGTATTGTTTTTACTTAATTACCTATCACTACATGTAAGGTTTATCATAATAGAGTTTGGTGTTAGCAACTGTAAAATCTCTCATATATTAATTGTATGTTTTATATGCCGGATGTGATATCCTATTCTGCTTACAATATATGATAACTTCTTGGTACAAATAATGCGAGATTATATGGGAGCTAAATCGCATAGCGAGAAGCAAAGGAAACTTTGCATTGCTACTCTGCATACTGCTAATTGATTTCTATCGTTATAATTCTGATTGTGATGCAAAACGTGAGTCATCTCTCTAATAATTTCATGATGAAAATGATATAACACCAATTGCAATGGTGTCAAATGTTAAACGAGAACGTCAAGAAAGGTAAGCTCAAACGTTTGACACGAGTTTTAGGTTGGATAAGGCATTGTCAAACTGTTGGCAAATGTTGAATTAGTGCTTTTTCCATGCAATGCAACTATCTCTTTCCTTCTTTGCATATATTATGGCAAAACATGTATCATCTTTCATATTTCTCTTGTTCTAATTAGTAGTGAGAGCGATCGAACTAAGAGATTAGAGTCTTGCATTAAGTGCTTAAAAGATTATGGCTCGTTTGGATATACTTTTCAAATAACTGAAAATGCTTTTAGATAAAATGTTTTTGGGTTCCAAAAGCACTTTAAGTGATTTCTATAAGAAGCACTAGTTATGTGCTTCTGCTTTTCAATAATTTACTAGCATTTTTACTAAGGATTGTTTCTAAAAATATTTTCACCAAAAACATTTTCAATCATTTTAAAAGTACATCCAAACAAGCTCTATAACAGATATGAGTTAAGTCAGTTGATTACGGCAGTATGTGATCTTTTGTATTCAAGTTCGAACTTATCTTTATACAAATTACTATGTATAATAAGAACATCGTTTTGTTAAAAGAATTAAGTGCTTGAAAGATATCACTATGTGGCTAGTTTTGTACTTTTATAGACAAAGATTAACTTCATTACTATTTTAAATCTCACGTACATCTGTTGACTTATTTATATACGTGTGAACAATTAATCACATGTCCAAATTTAGTATCTATAAAATTCACATCAATCAACGATTTTAAGTCAATGATCAAACTAACCTATTTGGAAAATAGGGCTAAGTAATTAACTTGGAATATTTTAGGGGAACAAGAAAAAATGAGCAAGAGGAATCACTCTCTCCCTCCATGGGAGTAATCATTTTCTGTATTTATTGCAAGTAAAGCAGTGAACAAGGATCCAGGCCCAGGTGACAGAGGAGGAAGAGCAGGTGGGCCAGGTGGCTCAAGGGAATCAAAAAGTGGGGCCCAGAAGTGGGAGACAAGCGGGCCAGCCAGTCAACTGAGGATGATGGCTAAAGCCCTAACTTGGATGATGATTGATGAGATGGGAAACTACTGTTTTTTCCTTTTATTTTTTATTTTTATCCAATATTACATTTACTAGGCAAAATTACGAAATTTAGACTAAGCCACACAGTCTGCATGCTATAATAATTTAGTACTAAACTTGCCAAAAGTAAGCGTCGAACTCACGATCTTATATTTTTCAAATAACAAAAAATATCACTCGAGATAGTATTAAGAGTATCTCTAATGAAGTCCCTACAATCATATAGTCCTTAAATACAAGGACAAATGATGGGCCATAATTAAAGTCATCAAAGTATTTCAATACACAGGGACTCGCTAGATACTTCAAAAAGAATTTTCAAATATGAGAACTACATATAGGGATTCAAATAGTAGACTCCATATTAATTTTGAGTGAAAATGGTACAGCTCTTTATGTTTTTTTTCCTTGTTTTTTGAACCCATCCAAGTGAGGCAACTTCTCATTTGTCTTTTTTTTTTTTTTTTTTTAAATTCTTGAAAAATCAATGGTACATATAGTTTTTTATTTTTATCAATGGTTACAATATTTCAATGAAATGAATAATAATTCTTTAATATTTTAGTCCCTATGTTTAGTGATTATACTATAAGGAATTTCTACTGTAGACAATATTCTTTTAGGGACTCGAATATTCCTCTAAAGCTCATAAATGAGTTTTCAAAGGTGGTGATGGAAGTCCCTAAGTAGAAACTTCTATCGGAAATGCTCTAAGCAACTCAGTTTTTTTTCAGATACAAGAGACGGTGTATACTAAATTAATACCGAAGTTAGGTGCAGAAAAAAGAACACACTGCTCTCTAGTTAGTTGTCCGGTCTGCTTTCCTTCATCTTGATGACAATTATGAATTAGAAAATCACCTTCATTCTTTTCTCAATGCGTTTGCTTTGCTTTGGCAAAACCTTGACATATTGTTCTTGCTTTGTTCAGCATGACCAGTCAACATGGTTGCTCCTTTGTGCGACCACTTTGTCCTCTCAAACCTCATTCACTTTTAATGCCACTACAATTAAAATACACAATAAACATAAATGCAAAATATAAGAACAATGATTTTCGCTTTTTTTTTTTCTTCGTCCATGCATTTTTTTCAACTGTTTAATTGAATAAATAAAAAAAGAATATAAAAAAAAATAGAGAAACGCAAAAACGAATACAGGAATGCAAAAATCAATTCAAATTGAATCTCGTGTAAATTTAATCCCGACCCGTTCACCCTACCCTCCCCTCCCTCACTACGAGATTAATTTGACATCTTATACATAAACGAACCAAAAAATGGCTAGTCTGACAAGCTGAACTTGAGATTTCTTTACCAACAACATTACTTTATCCTACTAAATGACGTCGGCTGTACAAATCCTAAAACGCCACTACACTTGAATTTGTGCCAAGTCTGGAAAATGCAGTTCACATCTTACTACATATAACAAAATTGGAGACGAAAATGAAACAAAAAAATTGAGTAATCAAGACAAGTTTATTGGAATTACAACTATATCCTAAAATACAAGTGTTCGAAGGCAGAGAGAAATATGAGGAAAAAAGCATATACAATATAAATAAGCATCTCGTACAAAAATAATACAGACCAAATGGGAAAACTGAATTACAAGATACATAATTGTATATCACCTCCCCATGCAATTTGTATGGCCTTCCCGGCTCGGACGAATCGGCAGCATTTGCAGCCTCATGAATTGTCTCACCAAACGACAGAAAGTTGTTCTGAATGCCATTTTTCCTAACCGATCCGAGCTGAACCCTCATCTTTTTGAGTCTTTCCTCGAGGGCTTCGACAGCGAATGAATTTGTCCAGATGAGTGTTTCTTTCTCCTTGGAGCCCCTACTGCAGCAGGGTCTATCAATGGGCCAGACCATGTTTGGATGGATTCTTTTGAATACGAAAAGTTTGTGGAACTAAATGGAACATCCGGAAGATCAAAAGCAGGATCAATGTGATTTGATGAACCCAAAGGATAGCCAAGTGTTCCGTCTTGGTGTGGAGGAGGAAACTTCTCACTCTTGCTCTTTGCGTTTGCATGTGTGATTAGACGCCGCCTCTGCAATAGGACAAAACATAAAGAATAACAACTAGCAAGTGCTCAAGTTTAGGTAAAAAACCAGTTTAACTCCCCAAGTAGTGACTACACAGTCAAAGGTCACCATCAGCTGCATCAGTAACTGAATATCGAACCAAGTTCATTGATTTTAGTTTCAAGCATGAAATCTGAAAGCGCGTCAAGAGGATATTTTAGATAACATTTTTCACTTGTTGATAGAAACGTATGAGATACCATTGGATAAAGTTACCGTCGCATACTTAATTCTATGTTAATTATTAATACTACAAAAGCAAATATTGTAGCTTAAAGAAGCAGATTAGATGACATACATCAAGATTGGCTTGAAGTTCAGCATTGGCTTCTGGAGCAGGAATTCCCTTGCGATCACGTGGTCGAGATTTCCTCACACCATCTGCGTTAGCTCTGCCAGCAGCTCTTAATCTACAATCATGAAACTCATTTCAGGTTGCATATAAAAATCAATTTTTCCCTTTTGGATGGAGGTGAATTAGAAGAAAAAAATGGAAATGACTGAGCGATTTGCAAACTGATGAAAGAACAACTACCTCATAAAGAAACATGAAAATAATAGCACCATTGAGATGATAAATATCAAAACTTAACCCAGATAAAAAAATTGAATCAATCATCCAAATGGACAAATGTGGAAACCAACATACAGTCATACATGGAAATTCAATGGTCAAGGCAACACATTTGCTTCATCAAAATATTAGTGTGGATGATTCAGTACATTTTAAGATTTGTTGGTTTAAAACTCTGCAATGGAATCTAAATAATACTGTGAAGGTTCATGTGAGCTGTGCGCCATGAATCTAACTAAAAGAAAATTGGTTAGATGAACAATAAAAGAAATTATTAATTGCAATCATCAACCTTCTAGCTTCTTCATCCCGTAGCTTAGCATCCATCTCCTTGCTGGGTGGATATTTTGGGAGGCTAGAAGGTTCACAGGCATAAGGTTTGGTTGTGAAGAACTGCAAAAGACAGACAACCATCACATGAAAATATTCAACATATTTCAAATCGTAAGCAGATAAAGACTAAGGATGATAAACTACTACATTCAGATGAGAAACTACCCAAGATCTCATATAACTTATAAGGCACTAAAGAAGAAAGGAAACTGAACAATATCAATTTAATAGTGAAATATAAAATCTCACTTCATTCCTCAATGCAGCAGTGGCAGTCCGACGCTCAGCTGGGTCAATTGCAAGGAGTGTCTCGATTAGTGGTAACGATGATGGTGGAAAATCTTTAAATGTCTCTGCAATGCATCGTTTGTATGATTGCTGAGGCTTAAAAATGGTTGCATGAGGCAACTTTGACTTTTTCCAGTAATCATCAGAAGGTGAACCACATAACTTAAATATCTTGTGTAGCTGCTCCACCTATTTAAAGTAAAATATAAATTAGGTGGAGTGGAAACATCCCTTTTATGCACAAACATAGTCAGAACACCAACAATTTAAATAATTCCATGAATCAAATAAAAAAAGCATCAAAGAAAACCTAAGCAAAGGATCTTCCGATGCCAAATACAGTGAAGAGAAGTGAAGGAACTCAGTGAATAAACGGAAGCATTTAAAACATACTTCTGTACGACCTGGCATGATCGGTTTTCCGGCCAACAGCTCAGCTAAAATGCAGCCGGCACTCCAGAGGTCCACACCTACACCATAATCAGTGGCACCTAGAAGAAGCTCTGGTGGTCGATACCATAAAGTGACCACTCTACTAGTCATTGGTTGCTTATAATTAGGGTCAAAGAAGGAAGCCAATCCAAAATCGGCAATCTTTAGGACCCCACCATTGTCAATAAGAAGATTGGACCCTTTGATATCACGATGAAGCACATAGCGGTTGTGACAGTGTTCCAGCCCTGATAATAGTTGGTTCATATAACACTTAACCTGCCATAGTTACATATAACAGATAAGAGAGAAGTTGCTCATTTTCCCAGCACAAGGGAAAAAATGGTTTCTTTATATGGCAACTAAACTAGATAAAATAAAAGCAAGAGACTTTTGCAATACCTGAGGCTCTGTAAACTTGATTGCAGGGCTTGCAGCAAGTCCTGCCAAATCATGCTCCATATATTCAAATACAAGGTACAAACTACACGACATCCTCGAGGTCACTAAACCTTCCAATTTTACAACATTAGGATGATCTAGACGGCGCAGAATGAGGATCTCCCTGGCCATGAACTTTACACTCTCGGGCTCCAAATTATCAAACCGAACTTTCTTCAGCGCAACAATTTTCCCCGTCAAAGCATCCCTAGCTTTGTACACATTACTATACGTCCCTTGCCCAATCTGATCAAGGTAGTACATGTATAAGTACAACTTACTAAGCCATTCATTTCCGGGAAAGGTAAGAACTTAATAAGTAAATCGCAAAATACTTAATTTAAAGTTCAAGTAATCCATTCACTAATGAAACTTACCAAATTGAGTTAATTGCTACCATTAGAAACCGAACATGTTCCATGAGAAAAAAAGAAGAAAGATTCAAACTTTTGTTTCCTATTCTAATTTCACATTAACCCTTTTTGTCAGCTTGCATTGTCTTTACAACCAAACAGTAATTAAGAAGCTCCAAAAACCATCAAACACTATATAAGCTCTCACCTTATCAAGCTTCTCGAATGTATCGGCGCGGCGGGGCGTCCAGCCATTGATGGCCTCGCCGGCGACGGCGGAGAGCCAGGAGGGCCAACCGGCGGCGACCTGCTCGCCAAGGAGGTGCTTGGGCAGATTGCTGAGCCTAGGATTGGGCTTGGAGGAGCGTCTCTTCTCCCCTTTAGGCCTCGAACTCCTCTCCTCCTCATTCTCCTTCCGATTACTGTTACTATCATCGTTACTAATACTATTATTCACACCATTCCTCACCTCACTGACCTCACCGCCGCCGGCGGTGGACTCTGCTTTCCTGGAAACCCTAATTTCGCCATCTCCGTCGTTCCCAACGGGGTTTGCGGACGGATGTCTGCTGAAGATGCACCCCATCTCCTCTCAGTCATTGACTCATTTCCTCTCTGCACATTCTGCTTCTGCAGCTATGGAGTCAGAGCAGAGCAGAGGAGGGGAAGGGGAGAGGAAAAAACCCTAATGACGTGGGGGGGGGGGAGGAATGGGGTGTGTGGAGGAAGGAAGAGGAGAAGGGGAAAGGGGGGGTTTTGATTAAAGAGAGTGGGAATTGAGGAGAAGGGCTTAGCTTTTTGAGACAAAAGTGGAGGAGAGCTATGATTTGGAAGGAAAGGGGAGAGAGAGAGAGAGAGAGCTGAGCTGCCCACAATTTATGGGCACACAAACACTACATAAAAAGGAAATAAAAGCAGGAAAAACAAAAGAAAAAGAGTAGAATTATTGTTGATTTTGTTTTTTAGACCAAAAAATTGTTGATTTTGTTTTTGTGTTTTTGGAGAGAGAAATTTCATTAGGAGCGTTACGTGGTCGGGTATGTAGAGCATGTTGCAAAGAAGATGTTCATTGTCACATCCCGGTCCGGAGCGGATCACTTCCGGGGCCCGCTCCACCACCGTGGCACGATATTGTCCGCTTTGGGCTTATCATTCCCTCACGGTTTTGTTTTTGGGAACTCACGAGCAACTTCCCAGTAGGTCACCCATCATGGGATTGCTCTAGCCTCCTTCTCGCTTAACTTCGGAGTTCCTACGGAACCTGAAGCCAATGAGCTTCCGAAAGGCCTCGTGCTAGGTAGGGATGAGAATATACATTTAAGGATCGCTCCCCTGGGCGATGTAGGATGTTACAATCCACCCCCCTTAGGGGACGAGGACGCTTAACTTCAGAGTTCCTACGGAACCTGAAGCCAATGAGCTCCCAAAAGGCCTCGTGCTAGGTAGGGATGAGAATATACATTTAAGGATCGCTCCCCTGGGCGATGTGGGATGTTACAATCCACCCCCCTTAGGGGTCCGACGTCCTCGTCGGCACATTTCCGGCCAGGGATTGGCTCTGATACCAATTGTCACATCCCGGCCCGGGGCGGATCACTTCCCGGGCCCGCTCCACCACCGTAGCACGATATTGTTCGCTTTGGGCTTACCATTCCCTCACGGTTTTGTTTTTAGGAACTCACGAGCAACTTCCCAGTGGGTCACCCATCATGGGATTGCTCTAGCCTCCTTCTCGCTTAACTTCGGAGTTCCTACGGAACCTGAAGCCAGTGAGCTCCCAAAAGGCCTCGTGCTAGGTAGGGATGAGAATATACATTTAAGGATCGCTCCCCTGGATGATGTGAGATGTTACATTCATGATAAAGTGGGGTTAAGAAAGATGACGATTTTGTTTACTGAATTTTCTTCGTATTTGAATTGATGAGAAGTGATTCTCACAATTTTTTTTTTTTTTTTTTTTCACTTAAAGGTGAAAAGGGAATGCAGAAATTACTACACTAAATATTGAACTGATAACAAACTGACATCAAATTGTAGTTTAATCAAGGCTTATTACATATGATTAGCATTTCTAATTTTCATTTTAATTTTGAAAAAAAAAATTATTTTAATTTTAATTTTGTAATTTGCTTTAATTTTTGTATAATTTTTTTCATAAATTAAAGTATAGTTTAATTTAATTTGTTGGTGAAGTTGGAATTCAAAGATTTAGTAAAAGAGAATGTTAGAAAAGAGTAAAGGATCATGGATTCATGTGGATCCTCCTTTCAATTTTTATGCACTTTCTCTTTCTGTGTTTTTTTTTACCCTCTCTCTCTCTCTCTCTCTCTCTCTCTCTCTCTCTCTCTCTCTCTCAATTTATCAAATCAATATATATCTCCTTCTGATGTTTTTGGTAGCAAAATGTCTAAATTCTAGCCAATTTATGGGTTTTTTTAAGGGAGCCTATATTCTTTGCTGGTTTATTGTAAACATTTATTTTTAGACAAACGATACTAGAGAAAGGAATTCAAACATAAGATATCGTGTTGAATTCGTCGTGTAAGGATAAATATTTGATCACTTGAGCTGCAAACTTAATGTCAAAATTTTGACGTATTAAACAACTCACCTGAAGGGTCTAAACATAAGATCAAGTTCCGAAAATATCTATATATAACAAATCATGTTTCATGTCAAGGTTAGCTAAATGTCATTTGTTGTAGTTTGGTGAGAAGGTGCGATGGGTTCCACATGCATGTCCCATGTTGATTGAACTCTCTTGCCAAATATTCAAATGCTCTTCACGGAGCTACGTATAAAAATGCTCATCTAATTTGTTTGAGATTGATTAGGTAAAAATGTACTCCCTTTTATTATGTTTTTTTTCTTTTTCCAAACGGGGAATTCAAGGCTCGTTAGAGTGTTTTTAAAACGATTCAAAAATATTTTTGGTGAAAGTTTTTTAAACTTATCCTCAGTAAAATTAAAGTGGACCCTTAAAAAACATTTTAAGTGTATCTTGCAAGAAACACGTATACGGTACTTCTTCCAAAATACACATTATGTGCTTGTGGAATTCAAAAATAATTTCATCAAAAACGCTTTTAATCATTTTAAAAGTACTTCAAAACATGATTTTAATATGTTATAGCGTTTATTATTTTCGATTTTAAATTAATTATTCTACGCCAATAGTCACGTGTATGGCGAGTCATCTGAGACTTGCTTTATAGGCCAGTCTGCCTAGCAAACTCCTAGCCAATTGGTTTGATATTACTGTGCTTTAAAAAAAAAGCTGATTTTGTTGTGCTGTGAGAATAAGTAGCTGTGAAACAAAGCAGCATAGTGTTTGGTAAACTTTTTTGTAAAAATGCTTTTTGAAAAAAAAAAAAAAAAAAAACTGTATTATAGTGTTTGGTAAATTTTTATGTAAAACAAATATGAAAAAAAACTGGTTTTTCAAAGCTAAGTTTTGCAGCTTCTTGTTTTTGACTTTTTTTCATCCAAAACTGTGAAAAAAAGCTGAAGCTGAATGTTTACCAAACACAAAAATAACTCCTAGCTTTTTTTTATACGAACTTTTTTCAAAATCACCTCAAACTAGGCCTTAGTCCACCGTATTGCATGGGAATCTCGCTGCATGCTATTATGATCCATCATTAATTATAATTAAGGAACAAGCAGCTGCTACAAGGAGGAATTTTAAGGTAAATCAATTCAACCTAAATTATAAAATTAATAATACCGTCGTGTGATTGTGTGACGAACACATTCATATATTTTACCAACTACAAGCCATTTACAAAGTGTAGATAATACTACAATTTTCATTGACGTCACGCAGTTATATGGTTATACAAATTCATTCTTGTTATACGGTATAATATATACTTTTTTTTTTTTTGAACAAATAATATAAATACATTTTTCATTCAAACATTTGTATGATCTCACGTGATTTGTTAATATCAACAAAATCGACGATTCACATTAAAAAAATGTAAATTAATAATTTTATGTGAACGTGACAATTTGATCGTCAAACCTAAGGTTTTGTATTGATCATGTATTTTTTTTCCTTTTTTTTTTATTTTTAAAGGGGACTAGCTGGTGGCTTAGTCACATCAATTCACCATTTCGAGGTTCGGAAAGACTCACAGAGGCATTTAGCCTCCCTTGACCACCATCGTGCAATACACCAGTGCCAGGAATCGAATCCAAGACGTGCTGTGTGAAATACGGACTTGAAATTCGTTCCCAATCACTAAGTCGTCACGTGGTGATTAAATTGATAATGTTTATATATGCAATTATGTAATTAAGATTATCTTATTTCAAAGGAAGGACAAGTAATTTGTATTTTCAAAGGAGTAAAACTAACTTCTAGTTTCAAAAGGAGGAGGGTTAGACAAGGACGTGCATGGAAAGAAGGTTGTTAAGGTAGGTAATAGGTGACCATGTAATTATCCCTTTCAATGATGTTAACATTGAAGCAAGTTAGACGTAAACAAAACATAGGACAATAACGAGATTAATTGTTGCCAAAGAAACCTTATTTAACACCAAAGCCAAAGCAACAGCATGAGTTTATTACGTAAAATAATGAGATTAGATGTTAATTATCGTTAGTAAACTTGAGGATTACGAAATTAACATCACAAATGTCGTGCCAAAGTCTCTCCCCCCGCCCCCGCCCTCTACACAAAAATCACTTTTTGGAATTTTTCCACCTAATTAAATTGAGGTAATCGCTCGTCAGATTACTAATTTGTATTTTGAAAGGAGGACTAAATTCTATTTGCAGAGGAGAGGACAAGAGACATGGAAAAGAAGGTTGTTAAGGTAGCTAGGTGTAGGATAGCTAATCTTGACTTTGAAGCAGCTTAGACCTACTTAAAAAATAGGACAATCATGAGAAAATTGTAAAAATGGTCCTTTAATTTGAACCTAATTAGAGTAATGGTCCATCAGCTAAAATTTGTGGCTATTGATTCCTTAACTCGTTAAAAAGTGTAACTATGGTCATATTCGTCAACTCCATCAGAATTTTCTCAAAACGAGTTAGAAAGATCATTGCTACAATTTGGTTATTGAGAGACTGTTACTCATATTGGGTTAAAGTTGAGGAACCATTTCTCCAATTGGTTAAAGTTGAGGGACGATTGCTACAATTTTTTTCATTTGTATTTCCATATTTGCCACTTGATTCAGCCTTATGTGCGTGACACATGATTCATTTTGACGGAAGTTCTAATAGAGTTGATGAAAAGAACCATAATTGCACGTTATGATGGGTAAAGGTAGCCAGGGTCATAAATTTTTGGTTAAGAGACCATTACTCCAATTGATTTAAAGTTGAAAGGCCGTTTCTACAATTTCCTTCAAAATTAATATTGGTAAAGAAAAGATGCATATCAAGTACTTAATATAACATTACGCTAAAAAAGAACTTGAGTAATTTTTCGGTATATCTAAAATACTATCATGTAGCATTACAATTCTACTTAAATTATAAACGTGAATTTATTTTTGTATTCATATTCACACACATGGTTCCAGTTATTTTTGCCCGAATTTATTCTTGAGCTATGTAAAACAACCACTTTTTTTTTAACCAAAAATCTTGAACCAAAGTCTCCCTCCATAATCACCATTTGAAATTTTCACCACAAGCACTCATCTGTGTCTAGGTTGAATTGGTTGATTCATTTCTCAAAAGAAGTGACGGTTTGGATCATTGCAAGACAATGAACTCTGAACTAATCCTTACTTTATTCGGGCTCATATTCACCACTTAAGCTAACAACAAAGGCTCAAATAAGCCTTAACATTGTGTCAATTAACACTTAAATCTTCATTCAAGTCCCTATTAGGTCCTCAAGTTTGAAACCCTCCATTCGAGTTTGAACTCACACGAATACATTTTTTGGGGTGATCGACTCTGTTTTGGTGTACCATTTGACCCTAAGGCTAAAAGTACGGTGTCGTTTAATGAGTAATGAACCGAAACGAGATTAGTTTGTCATCAATGTGAGATGAGATATATTTTACGTTTAAAAAAGCTTTATTATATAGTCTTGATTAAAAAATTTGGTAAATGAACAACTAGGAGTTAATTCAAATTTAGAAGGTTAAGCTAAAAAAATTAAGGCTAAAAATATTTGATTTAGAAGCTTGGAAGTTTGAAGTTTGATATGCACTCCATCTTACTAGAGCTTTGAACGTGACGGCAAAGACCATGAACCAAGTGCCACGTTCCTAATGAAACCAATTAAACAAGGATCAAACGACGTCGTTTGTGGGTCCCGGTCGACCAACCCATCCCATCTACCAAAAAATAAAATGATAGAGAACCAAATGAACGATACCTCCCATACCGTCCGATGAAGAATCTCCCAGACCGACGGCCACGATCACCTCCTCTTCCACCACGTTGCGATCAGTGATTGGTGGTGAGAAACGCCAGATAACCCATCCCCACCTCGGCTTGCATTATCAAATCCTCCGAGAAGCCTCCGAGCTGGAAGAAAATGGGCACCATTGCTGGCATTATCCTCGCAACAACTCCGTTGACAAGACCTCGAGGACTCGTCGGGAATTTCCTGAATCTTCACTGCCCTTCCCTCAAATTTTCCCTATTCAGAACCACCTCCAACACAGCCATGGCCGCCGCGCCTTTCCATGTCTCCGCCGCCGCATCGTCGCCGTCATCCGCCATTGGTATAATCTCACTTTACTTTCTACATTTTCCCCTAATTTCTTCCCAAGCTTGTGAATTTTCAGTAGTTTTGTATTTGTTTATGGTAATTTTTTGATGGGTCGGAGCCAGATGAAGAGAAGGAGGTAACTTCTTCTGGGAAGGTGGGAGCCGATGACCTGCTGATTGTGGGGCCGGGGATTCTTGGGCGCTTGGTGGCACAAAAATGGCGGGAGGTACTGATCTCATTATCTTAGTCTATCCGTATGTGATTATTTCAGTGATTAAGTTAATTTAGTAATGAATTAGTGGGTTAAGTATTAATGTTTGTAGGAGCATCCTGGGTGTGAAATATATGGGCAAACAGTGACCGTTGATCACCACGAGGAGCTGAGTGAGGAGGGTATTAATCCATGTTTGAAGGGGACTAAAATGACCCACAAGTTTCCTTATGTCATCTTTTGTGCGCCACCATCGAGAACCTCAGACTACCCTGGTGATGTTAGGTGAGTAATTTTTCCAGTTCAATCCTCACACCGTCACGTTTTATTACCAATTGACGTGTTTTAAGTATATATGTGTACTAGCCTGTTGCCTAAGTACAAGACATATCAGTTCGCATGACAGTGTGACCGTCTTACTAAACAATTGCTCGTGGAACTGATACCTGGGTAGTGAGAGTTTGGTTTTTTTAATTATTAGTAAGTAGTAGAATAGCTTGTAATGCTGGAAATGGTTTATTTAGTGTAAGAGATTTGGTTTGGTCTTTTTTTTTTTTTTTTAATAAGCAGAATGGCTGCATTGAACTGGAACGGTGAAGGTTCTTTTCTGTTTACATCAAGCTCTGCACCGTATGATTGCAACGACAATGGTCCATGTGACGAGGTAGACACTTATTTCTGGTGGTGGTGCCATTTCTTTACTTTCTTCTTTGGCACAGATAGGTTTCCCTGTCTACATTATTGTACTCAATCTGCCAAGTTGCTTTAGCAATATTCTTTAAACTTGTTGGATTTCATAGTCATGTTGGAGTTGGAATTTGGAGTGTTCTCTTTTGTCATAGTGGTCGTATTCCTTTTTGCAGGACACTCCAGTAGTGCCAATAGGGAGGAGCCCCAGGACGGATGTCCTACTTAAAGCAGAAGAAGTTGTGCTGGAGTTTGGCGGTGTTGTTCTTAGATTGGCGGGGCTTTACATATCCTTTATGAAAGTCGAACTCTGAAAGATTACTTGTACCAAAGAGGAAAACATTTCAGGATTTGGGGGATCTTGGTATTTTTTATATTTGAAAGTGTCCTTAATTATGCCTACAAATCAGATAGAGGTGCACATGTTTATTGGTTAAAGAAGGGGATCGTAGAAGCTCGTCCAGATCACGTCCTGAATCTTATACATTATGAGGTGATAGAATCTTCCTACTGTGTTTGTGTATAATTTCTTTTCTATTTAAATTTGGTAGGAGTTCAAATCATGTTTTAGATGATTACACTTTGTCACTGTCAGTAATATATTTCCCGGTTCACTGCATTGCCAGGATGCAGCTTCCCTCTCTGTTGCAATCTTGAAGAAGAGATTACATAACCGGATCTTCTTGGGTTGTGACAATCATCCATTGTCCAGGTCCTAATCTGAACATTGCATCTTTCAATATTGTTCAGTTGCATTGACTATATCACATTGTCAACAGGATCAACTATTGCTGGTCTTCTGTGTGTGTGTGTGAGGGCTACGATCGATTCACTTTTATTTTTAATTTTTTGAAGGATTACTCTGTTTTTGGGCTTAAACAATAACCCCTAAGTCAAAATCTTTTCCATATAATGGTTTTCTATATTGTATCTTTTTGAAGTTGGTACATTTTATGTGCATGAGTAAACTGCTAATCCAATGGTTGAGTCAAACCTAAAACTGGCAAGTTTTGCACTGACGTTGGTTGATCTTGTCCTACACTTGCCTGCAAAGCACCCAGTTGTACGTACGTACGTACGTGCGTACACACACACACACACACACTGCTAGATCACAATTGATACTCAGATACTTATTGTCATATTGTTATTTTCTTCTTAATTATCTGCGTGAACTAGTGACACGAGTGTTTGTGGCCTTGCCAATGTCTTTGCAGGCAAGAAGTAATGGACTTGGTTGCTAAAAGTGGGAAATTCTCTAACACGTTTGAGGCCTTTACAGGTAAGCTTCTTGCTAATATTCCATAAATAATATAAAGGGGACTCCGGTTTTAGGATATTTTGAAATACACCTCACACCAATCGATGCTGTTTGTGCAGGAACCAGTGATCCCTTGGGTAAGAGATTAAACAACTCAAAAACTCGTCAGGAAATAGGGTGGGAGCCAAAGTACCCCAGTTTCGCACACTTCCTCGAGAGCATCTGAATTACTGCCAGCATCTATCTGCATTGTTGGTATCTGATTTAGTGTTGAGAAGCATTGGTTTAAGGCAACCCAAGGAACATTCGCCATGGAGCTGCCAAAGAAGGTCTTGCATTATCCAACCATTGAAGCTGTTCGACGGGTTTGAACATTTAACTTTATGCATCTCTGTACAGGTAGCTGATGTATGCAATTGGTACTTGAGTACATGCATCACCCATGTCTCTAAATTTTTTCTGCGTTTAATTTGCTGTTGCATAATATTTCATCTTCTTATGTTGAACTGGAACAGAACATGTTTCTTCTTGATTTTTGCATGAATACTCGATGGTCGATTGCAATGCAACTCAGATATGATAAATGCAAGTAGCAATAACCCACTTGCGTGCGGTGACTCCCGGAGTCCCGGCCCTTGATGCGCCGTGAGCGACTGTCCCACGCACTCTGCTCTCATTACAATGTGTGTTTGTTTCATGTCGTAGGTGACTTTCTACATGCTTCTTAACACCATGAACCATCAGCAGAATACATTAACATTATGCTAATCGATTTATAATGATTTATAATGATTTTTAGGGTTAACTCTCAAGTCATCTATGGAGCTTTTAATTTCTAAATTGACGCATTTTAGCCAAGTAAATTTACAGTTTAACTTGGTTAAAGGGGATGATTTGAGAAATTAGAGCTCCAAAGACGGTGATCAGATAAAATTAATGTTAGTATTTGTCCATCTCATCACTCAATTTTTGTAGAGTCATGCAGGTGATCGAATTTGTCTAATTTTTAAAACGTTAGGTAATTATTTAAAATGTTTTAAAAGGTTGAACTAATTTGAAATCATTCCAAAAGATTTGTTAGTTATCCGTACTTAACCCTAATTTTTAATTATTGCAATTAATGTAACAAGCAAGTTATATGCTTCTCTAATTTTGATTGAGACATGATTCCTTCTTCTGGTGTGTGCTTTTCTGTTTTTTCTGAGATTGATTTTACGTTAATTATTTTATTATTAGGCTAATTACATGGTTAATTACTTTTCGTAGGCTATTTACATGGATAAAAAGGTTGCCCCTTATGATAATCACACTTTTATCTTTCACCTCCCCAATTTAACTCTCAACAATAACTTCAAGTGGTTCTTCGAGCAAACAGTAAATGCTACCAATATGTAAAATAAATCGAGCTCACCGACGAACAACTCCATTAGTGCTTGACAGCGAATGTGAGTAAAACAACTTCCTTTAGTAAATGAAACTTCCACATTTGCACCCACTAGCCGACCTAATTCACGTTAATCTTGACTTTTATAACAAGTAATGAGTGTGCAGAAGTTGGCAAAATGTATCATCAATTGGTTAAGTTTGGAAATTAATTATCAACTTGCGTTACTACTTACTCCTTCGAGGTAACGTAAAACTAGAATACTTCAAATATACAAGAGAAATGCGAAGGAGACTCTATCAGAAGTGGACTTTTCATGGACGTTCTGCCATTTCATGTTTTTGGCACAATGTTTTAAAATGTGGTACGAAAATTAACGCTAATCTATGAAGTGACAAAGAGTTGTGTAAAATCCCACTTTGAAAGATTATTTTTGACATTTCTCAATAGGCAATTTATGTCAACTTGATTTCCTACTTTTATAAACGAGCACAAGTTGCGATACCAAATAAATCATCAAATTATTCAGTCATTCATTCATTCCCCTCCCTCTCAAGTAATCTCATACTCCATTTCCAAAAGCTTTCAAGAACTTTTGCATTATATATAGCACATATTTATATAAAGTGATGGCGAAGTTTTGCTGCTTTGAATGCGATGAAGGTGGTCTTGATCTCACGGCAGTTCTGGTGGTGATTGTGGTAGCTCTTGTCATCATGACTGTTTTAGCTCCACGGCGGCGTGGCCCCGTGGTTGCCGTCTACCGCTGCTGTTGAGTAGTTGACTTCTTTGAATGAGGGCCACGCCACACATATGTCAACCTCTCCTCTCCTCTCCTCTCCTCTCCTCCCTCAGAAATTCTCACATTTTTGCTGCATTGAGGTGCATGTAATAAATCAAAAATCTTGTTTTTAGTGAATCATAATAATTGTTTAAATTTTGCTGTAAAAATTATGTGATAAGTGATTGTGACAAGGTCTTGTAATTATGAGCTCTTTTCCAATTGTAACGACAGATAATAATCTTATAAATTTATGTTTATTCCTCTCTCTCTTTCATGTTTTAGGCCAATTAAGTTGCATCACTAGTTGATGTAGTTTACTTGGAATTTCACCTTCGTGATCCTTCTGTACTTTGTTGTATTTCATCTTTAGCTTTAGTTTTAATATGTCAATTAAGTTCGATTTTCATCTATTTTTATTCACATCTTCTCATTTGAAAAATTCAAGTTGGAAGGAGTTTTTTTTTTCCTTGTTTAATAGATTTGGCCAACTTTGGTAATAAAATTACAAGGACCAAAGTGTTACAAAAAAAACTTACAAAATGAGGGGAAGTGAAAAATCCAAAGAAATTACAAGAACTACTAGTGCAATTCAGTTTTTAAAAAAATTTAAGAGAACTGTTTTGTTCATGCTTTCATGTACATATATGTACAATCCCCAGCGCCAAGTTCATCCAGCTTCACAATACTCAGAGTTTTTTTATTTTTATTTTTTAAATAAATAAATAAATAAATATTTATAGTTTGGTTTTTTTCTTTTGCTGAATTTGCTTTTATTAAAAAAAAAAAAAAAAAAACTTGGGACAGCTACTTATCAGATATATATATTACCCAAATGAATGACAAATTAGCTAATGGGAACATTAGTAAACACATCGATATTTATAAATAATATTAAAAAATAGAACTGTTATTGACATTCTAAGCAAATTAGCATACACTCTTTTTTAATAAAAAAAATTAAAAAAGAAAGAAGTATGATGACTTTTTACAATGTTAATAACAATTTTTTAAAAAGAATTTCTTAAGAAAGAGGGGAAGATAAACAATCCCTATTTAGAGTCTCAATATTTCAAGTGGTCGTTTCTAAATTCTAATGGTTTGAAGATTTCCCTCAAAGTTGTCCTAAGTTTGAAACTTTCCTTGGGTTTCCTTTGCTAGAGAAACTTCCTTGGTTGACTAACAAATTTGTGTCTTCAAGTATTTTATTTTTAGGTAATGCTATGGAGACTACATTTGTAGACTAAATTTTGTAAACTAAATGATATGAAAGTTTTGTTGATTGGATTATTAGTTAAGTATTGATTAACACGTTTATTTTTTATTGGTGACACATCATTTAGTTTGCAAATTTAGTCTTCCTAGCATTACTCGAATGTTAAACAAAAATAAAAGATCCATGTCTGGAATGCACAAGTTAAGTTAGTCACGTAACACAATGTGAGTGAATTCAATTGGTATACATTGATTGTATGACATTGACACTATAATTGAACTCACCTCATAGTCTTATTTCTTCACCTACTTTAAAATTTTTCGTACCAAATTAAAATGTTCTCTTAAAAATTAAAAAGTTCTCCTAAAAATCAATCATCTTATATATTCATTCTAGTCAAAGAAAAAAAGGAATAGGAAAAAAAAAATTAAAAAACTTAAATGAGAAGCGAATCAAACCTCTCCATTTTGTCTCTTCATCCCTCACCTATTTCTAACTCTTTTGTCCCTTCCATCTTCTATCTCTTCCGTCCACCTCACCTACCCCAAATTCTCTCTTCTTTTCTCCTACTTTTCAAACCTTGCTTCTGAATTGAAGTTCAATAATAAATATGGATATGAATCTTAAATTCAGCTTTGATATGGGGGGAGCAAAGAGATAGAGAAGGATAAAGAAAGGAGAAGAAAAAGAAAGGAAGGTAACTTTTCTTGTGGAAAAGAGAAAAGGAGCTGCCATTGTCACATATGGTGCCTGGTTGTGGATGCTTTTGGCTGGGTTCGGGGAGGGGGGGGGGGGAGGACGCTTGTGGCTATTCCCTTTTCTTAAAATCTCCAAGATTTATTATTCTTTATATTTATTTTATCTAGAATTTAACAATATTAAGGATATTTTAAGAATATAATTGGGTAAGAAGAGAGTGTTTATTTTTCTTAAACTTTTTATGGTGGGTGAAAACATATCGTGGGAGGAGAAATAAAACCATAGAGTGACATATTAGCTTTCCTTATTTATTCCTTGGTAATGACCCAAACCAAACTGATTTTAATTGGAAGAGAAAATTTGGGTATGTGAGTGGCTTTATTTGGTGAAGATTATGCACCCTTATTGAGATTGCTGATAGCAATTTGAAGTGGAAATCATGTACCCTTCCAAATCAGAGCTCAATCAGCTGCACAACTCGCTTGGCTTGCAAGCCTGCATAAAAACTGGTCCTAGAAATTGAGCTTGTGTTTTGAATTTGATTGGCAATAAAGTGAGTAATCTAACTGTTTATAAAAAAATAAAAGTTTTTTGTTTTTTAATGTGAAATAACACTACCTCCTTACTTGCCCTCTCACATATGGTGACATTGAAGTCGTGCACGTAAATAACACTCATCAGGTGCTGTGAGCACATGTGTTTGTTGAGCTTTCATATGATGGAAATCCTATTTGGATACAACGAAGAAATTGTGGTTCTCCATAAAAAAAAAAAAAAAAAAGAAATAATATGAGTACAAATTTGTTTTAGAGTGCCAAAAAAGGCTTATTTGTTGAAAAGTCTCGTGAGCAATGAATGCCCACAGTTTCATTTGTGAAAGTCTTCTGCATGGGCAAAGTTTTCAATGCCCATGCAAAGTGAAAGAGATTGTATAGTCAGACGAAGTTTCATAAATTTCAAGATGCATTAACTGCATCAGTTTGGAGTTGCTCTATAAATAGAGCACTCCGCATGTTTTTAAGTTACAAGGAAAGAAAAGAAGAAGTGAACGAGAGAAAAATATCAGTAACATCATCTATTTTCTCTGCCTTTTATTTGTTATCTGCCTGTGCTATAATTTTAGTGTGGCATTTTATATCTACCTTGCACCTACTATTAAAAAGGTTATTCCTCAAACTTTAACCCTTTTATAACACGTTATCAGCACGAGTCTCTAAATATATTTATTCTCTCATCTCTTTTCGCCGAACGAACGAAAGAAAGAAAAAATGTTTTCTTTAAGGTTTTTACTGTTCATCTTCTTCCTCTGCCTCAACTGCGCCGTGTACCCTCGCGACAAATTGTTTGCTCCATGCCTGCTCTTAGTTCTCCAACTAACGGTTACATACATCTTTGATGACTTGTTTGGTGTAGAGATTGATTACTAACCCAGTATTTATTTATGTTAATTCTACTGCAATCCAAGATGGTGCGGTACAATCGCCCATCT